AAAAAAAAAAAAAAAACCTGAAAACTTCTCCAGAGACTCTCACCTGGATATAATAAGGAGAGTTCTGCTCAAATGAACTTAGTCAAAGCACACCGTCACACATTGTCTCGTCTCGGCAGGTATTTCCAGTATAAGCAGCTCTGGGAAATGTTTAAACTTCCAGGAGAGAACGACAGGAGAACTCTCCGCCTGGATATAAAGGTATAAGAAACCTGTTTTCAATAGTCCCGCCTCCATGTATGTGCAGTTTTACAGTGGACGGATGTTTTCACGTTCATCTGCAGAAGTTTCTCTGTGCTCAGTCTGATTTTGAGGGGCGGAGCCTACCAGCAGGAACCCTTTTCTGTCATTTATTAGATGGGCGACCCCTGACTTTGTGTAAAACAAGTGATTGTGGTTAAATTTTGAACACATTTTCTGTTTAGGAAAGCTTTTGTACAATTCTGTCTGTATTATGTATTTCTTTAATCATTTTTAACAATCATACGGACTGAATAGGCTTCTTTTTTTACAAATTCAGTGTTTTCTTGGCCATTGTTCTATTGAACCAAATGCTGAGATACTGTGTATATATTTTATGAAGCTTTGGTGCCACCGCAGTATGTAACTTACACCAGTGTGATGAAGAAACTTGAAGCCATCAGTGCACAAAGACATCTTTAGATCTTTAAAACTAACAACGACATTTGCATATTAATAGGTGCTGTCATTTTTAATGAGGTAGAAGGAAGTAAAAATAAAAATGTTACTTTTTTAGGTCACATTAAAGTTTCCAAGCCAAGTAATTTGTATATTGGTCTTAATACGTGTTTGGGTTGTTTGCTTCAAGTTTTGCCTTTTGTTTTTCGGAACGACTTGCATACCAACCTCCACCCGGTAAGTGTCTCCTCTAAAAATTTCTCTCTCTCTCTCTTCTGTTCCTTCTCTCTCTGTCTCTCTCTTCTCTCTTGTCCTCTCATCATCTCACACACAACCACACACACACACACACAGCTTGGCACTTTTTTGAAAGTTTAAAATGAGTACACTAAGTACATTATTATTTCTTCTTTTTAATGTGGAATGAATGCCACATATCTGTCCATATTGAGATGCCACATTAGAGAGTCAGGGTTCCCAGTTTTCCAGTCACAGAAACACCTGGAAAGGAATTAAAAATTAAAAATATCCCGGAAATGTTTGTACTTTAGCCCCTCGCTCAGAGCGCCTACATAAACGTAGGTGTGTATTTTGTTGGTAGAATGAACTGTATGACACTTTAATCGTCTGTTTTTTTCCAGAGCTTCATGCATACAGCATCAGATGTTGCTGTGACTGATAAACACAGTGAAGTTAATTGTAGTTGCAATGAACACTTCTGTAAGATAAAATAAATTTAACCTGATATGAACTGTTACTGATGGGCTGTGGCCAAATTAATTTAGTCAATTTGCCAAAAAAACGCAACGTATGAGCATTTGTAAGCAAGTGCTGTCCTTGAAAATGATTTGTTAAAAAGAGTGGGAACCCTGAAAGTCAAAAACTCAAAACACGTTGGTGTTGCAGTAGATGAAGTCCTGTTTTGTCGTGTGTTGCAGCCCAAACCTCGACGAGTTTACGTGCCGAACACCTACATCGTGCCAACGGAGAAGAAGCGCTCCTCCCTCCGCTGGGAGGTGAGGAACGATTTGGCTAACGGTCTCCTCCCCTACAAGTTGAACTATCGATGCTGAGCCTCTCGCGCTCCACATGCCTTTTAGATACTTTTAATAAAACTTTGCATTGTGTGTTTTTTTGGCATTATTTATTGATGACATTTTCTGTTGAACATAATAAAACAAAAAAGAAAACGTTTGTGTCACTGTGGTCAGTGAATATATTACAGGTCATTTCATGTCTTCTACGGTAAATCGGAGTAGGGCAGTTTAAACGGGTACAGGGCCGTGTATCGCTGGTCGTGCCAAAGCAGCTTGGCCTCCAGGAACTTGATGGTTTTCAGCGTGAGGACGACTGCTTCGTGTTTCAGCAGGCTGTGGACATTCAGACCTGACAGAGAGAAGACAAAAACCTCTGTTCACTGCTGTAGTTACTGTAGTTCATGCTAATCCCAATCAAGTATTGGAATTGACTGGAAAACTGAGACACATACTCCATGCCTCCCCTGTGCATAAGAGCTGAGTGCGGACTCACCAATGGCTGGAATAATGTTCACCGTCTTCAGACTCGCTGTTGCCTGGAGGATGTTTTCAGGAAGCTCTTCACCTCTAAAGACAAGAAGAACAAGTTCAGCACGAGCAAACCACAGAGGGAATCCAGTTTTTATTGGAGTGGTACTCACACATCGACGATTAACACGGACTCTCCCCAGTGTCTGTGTTTGATGAGGTCCAGCAGGTACTGAGAGTCGGGTGTGGGGATGTTCAGAGAGTCCACGATGTAAAGGTAGTCCTGGGAAAACACAATATTCTGCTTAAAGTGGGGTTTAACGGAAAAACAGCTGGAACAATGAGGAAGAATAATCAGTTATTTTGACATTGGCTTCAGTATTTTTAAATCAAAAGTAAAAAATATTCTCTGGTTTGAGTTTTTGCTGCTTTTCTTTGTCAGCATTGATTATTTTTAGGATTTGGACTGTTAGTTCGGATCAAATAAAAAGTTCATATGTAAGAATAATAGTTGGTTGAAACCCTACAAAGGTTTATTTAACATTATTCAAGTATTTAAAAGTAATGCCGTTTTTAAAAACATTACTCTTACTCAAGTATTACTTTTAGCTAGACATGAAAAAGTACAGGAAAAACATGTTAATGCTATTTTAATCACTGAAAGATTAAACAGAAGAAATGATTTGCTGACAGGTTTCAGTTACCTGAGCCATCTTGGAGCTCAGAGCCACTTTGAGTCCTTGCACTCGAATCTTCATGGGTAACATGTAGTAGTAACTGGTCGGCCCTCTGGGTCCGTGAGCCACGCCACCTGAGAGAAACACAACACCTGTCAGACCTGTTTGTGTCTGCTGACGATAGTACGGACCACCAGGAACCAGGATTTAAGATCAGATCTGGCTTTTGTCACTTCTAGGTTAGAGTTTGGAACACGACAGACTACGAAACAAACGCTTCATTTACATTCAATCAAACATTTTTAAAAATACGTGTAGCAACAAGCAGTCACCTCCTCTCCATAACGGTGATCGGATGCTCCCGTGACGCGCTCTTCCACTTCCTTTCTGTCGCCATGGTTTCCGGCCTCCACCCCTCACCTCTGACCTGACCTTTGTGTTGGCGTGGCTCTGAGAGATCAAAACAACTATCAGTAAAAGGTTAGCTGTCATCCATATAAAGACACAGAGTCACATGGTGTCTCTCTCCCTCTGCCTGTGTTGTATCGCAGCCTCTCTGTGGTTTGTTCCACAAGCCGTGGCTCTGCTCCGACTGAAAACTTGCCGTGGGCCGTGGTTTATTATTTTATCATTCTACGGGTTCGATGTGAATGTAACCCTTAAAATGATTTTATTATCCCCACAACGAGCAAGAGATTAGGGTGATTACTGTGGAGAAACACTATACAGAGTACGTTTTTAATGAGTTTTATTTTTGTGTTCTGTAGCATAATTATTATAGGTTTTAATCATTGAGATTTTATTTAACAAATTAATCACAATTAAATACAGTAGTCACAGGTGAAAATATAGAGAGCTTCCCAATGACAAACGCGCGCATCGGCTGTGTCCTGATCGCTCGCCCCACGTCTTGCAGGCTCTTGCCTAACATATTAATTGTTAGATAATGTACTGTTAATCGGGGACTCCTATCCCGCTATTTATGAATAAAGGCCTTTCTCTCAAAGTTGAAGTGTGGACATCCACACCACCCTCGTGCACCGCCGGGCGGCCACACCCACGCCCCACCCCCATCACATACATCGCCCTCCTCCTCACAACATTTCAAAAATGAAGTAAATCAATGTCCGTCTACATTCACTTGGTATAAAAATTTCTCTAGCCACGTTTCAACCTGGTGGAAGAATATCTCGAAAGCCTGAGAGGAGAGAAGAACACATACCAAATGATAAAACAGGAATTCACACACAGTTTCCCACTTACACACACATAGAAGAGAGGTGTTGTCCACAAGCTCACAGCAAGGAACATAAACCTCAAGCGTAGATACAGCACGATGAATGATGTTTTGGGACGGGAAACATGAAGAATACTCTCCTGAAACAAGGTGATACAATATTGTGAACTTTACATCAAAGGAGGAAGCGCAGAACACCATCCGGCCGTGGAGGTAGAGCCAAACTTCCAACGGCTCGCCGTCACGGCTCTCCAGAGTCATCCATTCAAACAGTCTGGGACGGGGCTCAATATTGAGTCCGAGAAGACGGCATCGCACTTCCTCTAGGACAGGCAGGGAAGCAGATCAGCTGGAGGAGGTTACGCCGCTCTGCAGAGAAGACCAGTCGTTCACAGACAGTCACCAGACATGTCGTCAGACAGCCACAAAGACCTAGTCACAGACAGTAAGTCAGACAGCACAGACAGTCACAGACCGTCAGTCAGCTCAGACAGTTCAAGCTCAGCACAGTCGACACCAAACCCCCACGCAGCTCCAGTCAGCACGCTCAGCGCGCTCGCTGCACGGCCTCAACACACTCTGCTGGCGCGCGGGCGCGCACATAACTCCTTCTTGACGTTCACCACGAGGATAAAATTCATCAACAGGGTTTACAAGCTGCCTGGCCAACTACTAAATTCAGCTTTCTATTCTACTCCTAACTCAAAAATCGCAATTTCACACAACGCTCGTTCTCTACAAGCGACTGCCAGGCGCTCTTTTTCACGACTCTCGCGCCTGTCCACATCAACTAGCAAAAGAAAGTCACCACACCCTACAATGGCATGCAATCAACCCCGCGCGCCTTTGCTTTCTTCTCTGACTTTACACACCATATCGGCTGAAGTGAAGTTGTTCTGACGTCACTTACATCAGCAGCGATCCCGACGCGCTTTTCGTCCCTTCTCGACAGCACAGATTGCCGCGGGCCAGGCAGGCGCCTCTCACCCCCGCGCGAACGACACGAGCACTGCAGCGGAGCAAAACCGTGCAGCGAGAGCACGCTTCGTTCAAATTCAGCAGGACATCACTCAACCTCACGTCTCTGTCACTTTTATATTTTAATTTTGAGTCTGGTCACATCTTGATCACGCAATCTGGGAGTACACCAGCTGCACCCTCTGTCGACAGCACTATTACTCACTTCCGCACGCTACACTGACGCTCTTGCTATGCCTCTTCTCACTACGGCCGCTCTCCACTCAGCGGTGCCACCCAAGAAGGCCAACAGTAAACTCCAGAGATACAATCGCCAGACACAAACTAGTATCGCATGTGTAGCAGCTTCGAGCTCGATCACCTGTCACCTTTTACCCCCTTATACACCTGGTGCTGATACGATGTCGCTCCATCCCGCAGGACTAGATCGACTGTCTCGTGTACCTGCTGAAATGGTCGCGATGTCAACGCCCGCTCCTGCCCTTCACGCAGGTTTGTGCAAAACAGTCTACGTTTGCTTGTGCTGCTTATGACCAGTCAACATTTTTACTCTTCTTAACCTTTTTACATTTTGACAGCTATGTTTAATCGTCACTAGACATCTATCTCCTCCCTGTATGCTGACTGGCGCTACTCTGCAATTTCCCTCGGGATATCAATAAATATCTATCTACTCTATCTATCTATTCTATCTATCTGTCACGTCCGTCTTTGCTGAATGTTAACTCCTCATACCCCCTAACCTTGAGAGAAGCTCTCTAAATATCAGCATTCAGCCAATTAAAACCCATATCAGTCCACA